TCCAAAAACTTCACTTACACTCAAGTTTTCAACAATGTCAACAAGCATTGTAAGCGACCTTACAATAGATGGATGGCGAACTTAAGACGGAATTATTTCAACAGTCCATGGGCATTCATTTCATTTGTTGCCGCTTTTGTATTGCTCCTACTTACTGTGGCGCAGACTATTTTTTCCGTTCTTTCCTATTTCTAGACAAATCCCATGTCTCGTGTGTTGTTTCCTCCCTACCCCCAAAACCCCCTATTTTCATGTGGAAAAATATCATGTATAAAGATGTTGTAAGTGTTAAATTGTGCAATCAAACAACCCCTTAGTCTACTCCTAATTGCTTGAAAAGACGAAATTGATTTGCCACTAATTAGATTACACTCCAAGTGATGTGGAGAGATGGACAAATCCTTCATCCAATTCTAAAAATTGGGCAGATCTGTTACGTTGATTATTATAGAATATATGTGTTGAGTTACTCGAGTTAAAAGTAAATTTTAAATGAATTATTATAGTGAGAAGGTTAAAATTCTAAAATTTAAATGAACTATTATAGGTGATGATGCACAAAATTGATTATGCACGATCAAATTAATCGAGTGTATGACATAAAGTAATTAATTAAACAATTAATAATAAGAGACAAAGATTGGGTGGTTAGATCTGGTTGACCTAACCACTGAAGGCAATAACGGTGGCCGAAAAACTCTGTTGATGAAGGAGTACAAGTTAGTAGGAGAGAGATAGTAAGAGTACGTTCCATGGGAGATCTGTCTCTCATGTGTAAGAGATTTATAATTTATAGACATAGAACCCTAGTTATAGCGGTGACACGAAGATGGTTAGCTGCAAGGTGACTGACAGAAAGCAAGTTTGTCCTCAGCGGAGTAGTTATAGTGGTGACGTGAAGGTCAACTACCAATTTATCGGGAGGATAGCTACAATTGAAGATAGGCATTATCTTTGAGTAATGACTATCTTGATGATTGTTTTATCTTGTACATTGATTTTTCCTGGATTCTTGAACTTTTGATTGGAGTAAGGTCATGAGTTAAATGTGGTTATTCTTTTGATGATTTGGGCTCAATCCATGAAATGGGCCTAGACCTAATCTGAATTTAGGCTTGTCAATAGTAAAAGGTTAAAAGTTAATATTTAAATTAGTTACTGTGATTAAAATATTAAAATATCAAATTGTAATATAAATTGTCAAACGTAAATGATCTAGACAGTCATTGTATTTTTTCTAAGTGAAGAACTTGCACAGCTCAAGCAGGAAGCTCTGTTCCATTATTACAGATCGTCTTCTCTGGTGAAACTATAGTTCTCCATTCTGCTCCAATGTCCGGCACAGNACATCATGTGAGTCACGTTAAGTGTTAAGGCAGCATCTCCTTTGGCACTCCCTACCTTTAGGTATGCTTTAAAGTAAACTAATTGGACCCTTCTGCTTCTTTTTGTTGGTGAGAGCACTATAATTATATAAAGACTTGGACCAAGTCCATTAAATGAATCTTTGTTATAAATTATCCTACTCCATGGCACTTTGTTTCCTAAAAAATTTTAAAATTACTATTTTGTTCTCCTTAAGATCAAAAATCTCACATTTACCTTAGACTTTTTTAAAATGGTAGCGATCTTTCCCAACAACAAAATGACTTTCGGTTTTTCATCTATAAGAATATTTTAACATCGATTGACCTACTACAATTGCATGGTAATTTTGCTTTCTTCCACTAAAAAGTAATTATTTCTGATCAGATGCGTGACACGCCAAATGTCAACAAATGAAAAATTAGATGACGTTAACTAATTGGGGCACATTTTTATTTGACAAAATTCATGATGTTTTAGTGATTGAAATGAAAAAAANCATTTGTGGACAACCGGTAACAATTAATAATCCTCCCCTCCAATACCTGGTTCTAGTTGGATAACTTGTAGTAAAAAGAGAAAGGGAAAATTACACACAGACCTCTTAAGATTTGTCACTTAATCATTCAGATCTTCTGATATTTGAAATATTATACACAGACTTCCTGAAGTTTATACGCGCGTAATATTTGGGCCTCTGCCGTCAAATATCTGTTAGTAAATTATACTTAGACTCCCTGAAATTTGTAAATGTATAATATTTAGACTCCTCAAATTTAAAATGTTATGTTTAGTCCAAAAATATTTTAATTAAAAATAGAATATCGAATATTTTAAATTTTATAACCTGAAATTTATGTTCTAGTATATCATTTATTGAAATAAAATCAAAAATAAAAAGTCAATTTTTTTCTTAAAAAATTATAATTAATATATATACAATCACAATTAGGGCTTCATGAACAAAGTAGTAGTTCGAGAACCCCTCGCATACGTACGATTTGAAAGAAGGACCAAGAGTGAAAACCTCACTTGAATTAGCGGCGGAGATTAAATCCTTTTGATCTATGGATTCATTTGCGGCTTGCTTAATATCAGTAGGAGATCTTGGTGAGAAAGGGATCTCAGAGACAGTTGAAGATGGAAGATTTTGTTTCACGGGAGCCATTGGAATAAACAAAAGAAGAATCATGAGAGATTTCGAAGACAAGAAGTAAGAGGCAGAAGAGGGAAATAAAGGGTACAGTTCAGCTGCTTAAGTTTTTAAAGTAGGAGATGATCAGTTATGGCCTTGTTTGAAAAGGGGAAGTAACTGCCTGAGAGTTGACAATCAGGGAATCATCGATGAAGGAAGAACTGTCAAGGACATTTTAGAAATAGTGCTAAGTTAATTTTAGGAGGTAGTTAATGTTATAGTTAAAGGCTTTTAGTTCGGTCTTTTTGTAACACACTATGAAGCACGGATACGGACACAAAATAAGAATACAGGTACGATACGATACAGATACAACGATACGACAAAATCTAAAAAAGAATGATAAGGGTATAGTCAACATACGGCTATAATAAAATATATTTAATATTTTTTATCAGCATAATATTTAATAAGAAAAATTAATAATTCTTTTTAGTTTTAAGAAAATATATATTATATCACTATAGTATATTCACAAAGTGAAGTGATTAATTAAATGAATCAAATCTAATATTTACTGAGTCGATTTATTTAAAAGTAATTTTTGCTAAGATTATAATGTAATATATTTATTTTATGCTCTTTTGAAATGTAATTGTAGATAATACTTAAAAAAATACTCATGTGTCTTTGAAGTAGTATGACTTTTTGTAAATGTATTATATGGTATGTGAATTCGAAAAAAAATGTTAAAAATTTAACTCAAAAATTTTATATATTTCTTGAGCACAAATGTATCCATAAAGTATTCTAATATTTAATTATTATCGGATAGATAAGAGGTGTATCTAATACATATATTCGAGTATTCAACGAGTATCGTATTCGATACGGATACGCCGACATCAACGAAATATCTGTACTTCGTAGATAACAAATAATCTTTTCAATTGAATAAAGGTTTCGCCTTTTAGTAATTCACTATGTTATGTTTATCATTACAAATTTATCCAAGAAAGTTTTAAAACAAGACAATTGAATTCATCATTAACAATCGTCT